GGAACTCCTAGGAACTGAAGACAAACTCAGAGAACCACTAGTTTTGCAAAAATTTGGTATCTCATCACGTCAATAAAATTATCCCATACATATCTCGTAACAGAGAAAGCTCTTAACAAGATTCAAGCAATAAAAACATTTACCCCAAAACAAGGAAAGTAAATTAAACCACAGCATGAAACGCTCACTAAATAAGCTGAAAAAGGTCACTGCTAAAGAAATTTAATCTAATCGAACTATAACTCAAGGAAAACTGTAGTTGCATTGTAAAGATCAAGCGGTGGCTGCAGCTTGGGCGGCCAGTCTCTTCTTGGCCTCTTCAATGATAGACAACTTGATACCCTTGCCCTTGGGAAGGGAGACCCAAGGCTTTGTGCCCTTACCAATGGTGTAGACATTACCGAGACGGGTAGCAAACTCATGGCCCTGGGCATCCTGGACGTGGATGGTCTCAAAGGTACCCTTATGCTTTTCCCTGTTCTTGATGACTCCGACACGTCCCCTATTCCGTCCACCAGTCACCATGACGACATTTCCAACATCAAACTTGATGAATTCAGTGATCTTGTTAGTCTCCAAGTCTAACTTGATAGTGTCATTAGCCTTGATGAGAGGGTCGGGGTAGCGAATGGTCCGCCCATCGTAAGTGTTTAGGTAGGGGATCCCCTTCTGTCCAAACTGCACTGAACGAACCTTGCAGAGCTTGAACTGCACAAAATATATGCAGTAACAGATCATCAGCTATCTTTATGTACCAACAACTCATGATCAATAAAAGAGAATTGCAATCACTTGAGGCCAGCAGGAAGCAGCAACCCTCGTTGACAAGCTAAACTCGAACTTAACAATGTGAAAAGCAGAACATAACATTACGAGCCAAATCTAAAAGAAATTATCATACAATCTCCTAAAAGAAATTATCATACAATCTACTTCCCATCTCTAGTGACTAGAACTTCTAGGAACTTCAAATCTAAAAGGTTCTAAGAAGCTTGTTAACCGTTTCTTAAGTGAGTCAAAGCAAAACTGCGTATTGGGCCCAAACGGTATAGCAAGTAACTTAGCTCTTTCCTTGTATGCATTACCACTAAACTACAGTAATATTATTTATTAACATTCTACCACAAATAGTTAAGATAGAATGAATCCTGGACTGAGATAGATATACTATTGTATGATAATTGATTGATCAAGCAACTGTCTCAAGTTCTAAAAGTATGACGTGACACAACTAGAAACTGCAAAAATCATGAAAATATTTCTAACAACTAATTGCATGGATTTCTCAGACAAACCTTAGCCTCATCATCCCTAACAGAGTGGAGACGGAACCGACCCTTGGTGTCGTAAAGCAGACGGAAGTTCTCGTTGGTTTTAGGGATCGACACAACATCTGGAAAAATGAAAAACACAAACTCGATTTCAGAATATTTCCCAAACGAGCACATTAAATAGACCAGAAACTCAAAAATCCACACAATTAAACATAAATAGAACAAAAACTCGCTCGCATACCCATGAATCCAGAGGGGTAGGTCTTGTCGGTCCTGACCTTGCCGTCGACCAAAACATGACGCTGCATCAAAATGGAAATGACCTCACGGTACGTGAGAGCGTACTTCAACCTGTTCCTCAGGATCAGGATCAGAGGCAAGCATTCACGAGACTTGTGTGGCCCAGATGATGGCTTCGGGGCCTATCAAACAAAAAAATTAACAAGAAAAAAAAA